ATTATTATTATTATTACTAATATTATTATTTTATCAATCATCATCATCATTATTGTTGTTCTTATTAGTAGGATTATTATTAACTACCATTAGTGTTATTGTTACCATAATTAGATCTTTCACCTTTACATCCATCAATGTCGCTGTATATATTCTAATCTCAAAATCCTCCGCGTCGTTTGAGCAACATATGACGCATCGAGCTGTAAATAATTGGGTTTTAAGTTTTAAAAAATATGTGACAATGTACGGAAGACGGACATATTGATTGTCCAAATAACGTGTACTTTCCGTCAACATCTCACTACCTCACGATGGTTTGTTATGTTTTTGTTCTATTTTGTTTTTGGCTTGATTTGTTTTGGGGGGAGTTTTTTGTTGTTGTTTTTTGTTGTTGTTGTTTTGTTTGCTTTATTATATTTTCTTGTTTTGTTTTGTTTTTTGTTTTCTTCATGATGATAGCAAATGCAAAAGTTTGGAGGAACCAATTATATTTAACCCGCACACATTTCTCTTAGCTGATCCATTTAAAAGAATCGTAGGGATTCAATGCAATATATTTCTTTGATTATTAGCAGCTCGTTATTTTTTATTGCCACAAGCGTTGTCTTACAATTGAGTTCATCATAATATTATTCAGAACGGATGGGGGGGGGGGGAGATTTTAAAGGATTACCTAGATACAGTGTTTTTTAATAAAATCCGATGGCAATTATTTTTGCGTTCTTGTAACCATTTGTTGTGGGCCTTCAAGGAAAGAATATGGTGAATTAAGGAAATACGGATCTTTTGATCTTCTTCCGGCTGGCATATTGTTATTCTGAGGACGTTTAGATTCATTTTTTACGAATATCAATGAGCTTATATACCCCCCCCCTCCCCCCCCCCCCCCCCCCCCCCCCGTAATTGCTGCCTAAACAGATAAGATAGATCCTTCATTTATTGTGTTTTAATCTTCCAGTATGTAGGTTTTCCGTGTTCTTTAATGTTCCTTTGTGCAGTATAACCTAACAGATTTTTAATTAGATTTCGACACTTCCACAATTTGCAAAATAAGGATTATACAACTTCCAACCAAGGTTACACGCAGTTGTCATATTTCAGTCATTTATCCAGCCGGTTCCTAGATAATGGGTTCGTCAAGTGCACATTTTTCAGTTCTACAAAGCGATGACCATTATTATATATCCCTCCGACATTGTTCAGTATGATAATAGTATGAAGTCACAATGGCGAAATCATTGTTCAGATCCAGACATGGACCAAAAGTAAATGTTCGATTTCAATGTCTCCTAGATCACATAAGCTGCCATAACAATAACAGAGACGAAAGAGTGGCTGGTGCACTTGAGATCATGTTAATCGGCCGGATGTCCGATTGATTTCTGGGTCTGTTTGAAAGGTTTTACAGTTTAGACGCAGTACAATGTTTCTCTGCCATGGAATTCAAGTTAGATTATTGTGTCTTCTAGTTTTTGTCTACATGTAGGCTTATTTCTTTGTAATAATGACATACTGTTACATATTTGAGAGAGTTTGCGTGTTTGGGAGAATGTGCCTGCATAAATGGTAGAGTTAATATATACACAATGATCATTTCTCTCTTTTCATTTCATTTAACAGTAAGTCCAGTTTTGCGTTTGCATTGTTCAAATATTTGGGTTGAAGAGGAAGAGAGAGAAGAGGAGACAGAGGAAGAAAAAAAGAGAGAGAGAGAGAGAGAAAGAGAGAGAGAGAGAGAGAGAGAGAGAGAGAGAGAGAGAGCAAGAGCGAAAGATATAGATTGAGAGAGGGGAGAGAGAGAAGGAAGGGGAGAGAGGGAGAGAGGCAGGAGATACAGAGAGAGTGTTTGTGAGTGTGTGTGTGTGTGTGTGTGTGTGTGTGTGTGTGTGTGTGCGTGTGTGTGCGTGTGTGGGAGAGACAGTGAGAGAGAGAGAGACAGTGAGAGAGAGAGAGAGAGAGAGAGAGAGAGAGAGAGGGGGGGGGGGACGTTTCTCAATTAACTACTGTTGCGGTGGGGCATTTTCTGAGCATGAACTCTGAAGCTCTGATTAAATTATACTTTTTTTCCAAAGGCTTTTAGGCTTTACCTCTGCGTGTAAAAGAAACTTAAACATCAATATACTGTAGTGCAAATGGTTCAAAAGTTTCAAGTCTCCCCTTGGCTATTGTGTTTTCATGGCAATATGTTATAGCACAGCAAGAGCGAATTGAATGTTGTGGATTAATGTAGAATTAGGTATGTTAAACAAAGACACGTGGTAATGAATACTTGTACTTAAAACGTTGGTCAATGATCAGCATATAAAACTCAACAGTTTATACAGTAAGACAGATCTGTAACGACATGGGTATCATGTCACGTAATGTCAAGTAGTGCTTCATTTCGGAGTCTTTGGAATGACAAAGAAAACCTATCAATGTCAGTACAGAACCGGCAGTCAAACAGAGAACCATCTGCTGCAAGCATGCCCAATGCTCGAGGCTTTTAGAAGGAAACATTGTTCCAACCCAAGGCAGAGAGACCCAAAACTCTCTTGGGGCCTGGAAGACTTGCGATGAACAGTAAGCTTTGCACCACTAGAGACTGGAATGCCCATTTAGAGATGAGGAAAAATAAGAAAAAAAGAGAACAGGAAAATCTGGTAAACATCGAGTTGCAAACATGCGTACCAACCAGTCGATTCAGCTAATGTTTGTTCCCTTTTGCTTCGCGATGAAAATACTTCCACAACTACTTTTTCGAGAAAGAAATGATTTCCTGGATCAGTATTTATACAAACAGCAGAATGTGAATGCATTGGCACTGTCATGCTCGCAATGCTTCACTTACATTTGTGTACACGAGAATGCCCGCTTCTGCAGCATACGGAGTTAACTTACTTGTCCAATAGTAAGCTGTTTTCGTTATCCCATTCAGATATTTCCTAGGTCACAATACTATTAAATTATATTCTCTTCGTCCATTCAGATCGAGAGGTTATCTTGATTTTGCGTGACATATAAAAAGTAACTGAGGGAAAGTCTCTTCATGATCTCTTTTTACAGCCACACACAGCGCTTTCTGATCAAGACCCAAGACACGGTCACAATATAATTTGACAATGTCTGTTGGGCAATCTTGAATGACGTAAATGTAAAATCAAATTTCCGCTCTCTTGATATCATGCCTCCGAAAGGACACCATTCAACCCTTCCGCCCCAAAATGAAGAAAACGTCTTGGTTTCTTGATATGAACACAAAACATATTGGCAATTACGTGGTCGTGAGCTGTTATAAGGCAAAAATATCTTTAAAAGACAGCTCTTATAGAATCCTTAAGAAAATAATAAGATGCCAGAAAATCTAATTACAATGCATAAAGATCTCTGACACAAATGACGAGAGGACTCCTCTGTTCAGTCGAATAAAGCAACTGAAGCAAACAGTTAAGAAAATGGGGCAACGGGAGGTTGATTTCCTGTCGTCTTCTTCAGGCCTCTGAGATTCCAGACCAAGATTCGTGATTTGCAAGTCTCTATTGGAGTTCTCGCTAATTTTC